CTTAGTGCAAATTACATATTTGTTGCTGCTTGGACATGTCTTTGACTTAAATATGTCCTTAACATTCTTTCTAACAGCTCCTGAACGTTACAAATACATAGTTTCGACAAAACTTCGAAGATTTTTTTATCATTTGCTCTTTGCTATGCTTGCTTGCGTTCTCATCGGTTTGTTAGCAAAAATCAGTTAGCAATATTAGGAGAACATTTTGCTTTGTTTGCACACTTCCAACAAAAATTCTATAATATTGCAGTAGGTCCTTTTAGATAATTGTTACACAAAGAATAAAGCAATAAGAGCCTCTTGATGCACTCTTACATATTAAACGATGGAAACTAGCAATCAGTTTTGTTAGAACATTTTTTTAGACCTATCTGTCAGCGTTCTCTATTAGGAAGAATCATATGATTTTTAGAGTACTGAGATGATGGAAATGCATTTTCTTTCTATTCTTGTTCTATTCTATACCTAGCTATATTTCATACAGATTTTGCCACATTGATTTGGGGTTTAATAGGAGGACATCCAATAGTGTCACTAGCTGTGTTGCTGTTGTCCTGTGCACTTTTTGCCTATTTAGAGTAACTAATGGGGTGCATTTTGCAGCAAAAACAACTTCTGCAATGCTGATAAGATCCAAAGTTGACAGTACTCCACAGTAATAACTTTTTATGGAATAAACTAATGAGTACTGCATAACTGCTACAAGTCTTTATGTAAAACTTTCCATCAATAATTTCTCGCATATGGTTTTATATGGATTACTGCGTACATGAAATAAATGAATAAATAAGGAAGTTTTGGATTAGCATGATGTACACTACGTTCAAGAAATAAAGAAATAAATTAATTTTCCGATTATACCGCAACTGCACGTATTGGGCTTACCTGGAAATAGAACAACATATTCTCTTATATTCTTTTTTAACTATATATAAGATTAGTATTATAAGCTATACACAGTACCATACTCTAGTTTTGGGAAATGTTGCGAAAAATCAGTGGTAGTTTTTCCCCAGAGTAAAGAAGACCTCTTCACTTGTTAGGACTTTTGAGAGCTGAATTATGAATGAAAGCTTAACTTCAAAAGTTTTCTAAGCGATGTTCTTCTGTTTGCTTTGTAATTCACTATCTTTATTCTCCTGCTTAGTCAATATATTCTCAGTTTGTCATGTTTCGTACTACATGCTATCACGCTTACTTTTGCTTTTCTAATCTCCATATCTCTCCTTAAAATCACAACGATTATGTAAAAAACGTCTTTGAATTCCGTCATAAAAATCTCAGTGTACTACAGTAATAGCTTAATAATAAGCTCCTTATCAAGATACCTCATAGACGCATACATTAATCATGTATTATTTACTGGTTTACTGCTGGGAAACTAATGTAATTGATAGATGTTTTGCGCGTATGTTCATCGTTCCATTTGATTTGGTCCCGAAGAAGGAGGTAACCATAGTTGAAGCAACTTTTAGTTTAATAAAGGTGTAGGCAACCACAAACATAGGTAGTTAAACTTGAATCATTTGTGTAAAAAACCACAAAATCGTTGGTAATAGAAAAAGTGATCAGAATTCTTAATCCTAAAAAGTGAAACAAACAAATAAAAAGAATGAAAATGGGAAGGATGAAACAAATCGAAAATGAAGAAAGCGCTGTAATACCAAATTTGACGTAATATTTCTACTTATATATCGTGCGATTTTTCGGGATTATTCACGATAGTGAATGAGAAAAATTATGTTGATGATGGAGATGACAACATCCTATAAACAATCCATAGAATTTGTGGAAATTTCAAAAGCTTTATCTATTGGCAAATGCAGCTTAGAACGCTAATTCCAAATTTGTCAGGCCAAACGTCATTACAAGAAGTCGTAGATGTTTTTTCTCTCTCAAAAATGGCCATGAAAAAAGTGCGTAGACGTACAACTTTGACCCAAACAGCAACACAGTTGATTTTAGGTGTAATAAAGCTTTTAGCAACCAAGTAATTATCTTCTGTGTTGTTTTCTGGATTACAATTGACTTCAAAGCAAGTACTGGCACGTCATACAAGCTATATTTGGCATTTTATAACTTCTTCC